ACAGTAGAGAGCATCCTCTGTCTCAGTGCGACAGTGTGGAGCTGCACTGCACAGGACAGAAAGGACTTGACCCGGGTGGTGAGAACAGCTCAGGGCATCGTAGGGAGTCCTCTTCTGGATCTGGACTCACTATACACTGACTGGATCCAGAGGAGGGTCGGACGGATTGCTGCAGACCCCACCCACCCAGGCAACGGTCTGTTTGTGCCTCTTCCCTCCAGGAAAAGGTACAGGAATATAAAGACTAAAACAAACAGACTGAGACACAGCTTCTTCCCCAGAGCTGTGAAATCAATCACCCTCCCATTCCCTAGTCACACACACAACCTCCCCCCTATGGACAGACACAGAACACTGGACCTCACACCTCTTCCTAAAGACTGAGATTTGCACTGAGCTGCACCTCATAATGTTACTACACTCTTGCTGCTAACATGCTGCTGACCTGATTAGGTCCCATACATCCCTTTTTATTTGTTCATATTCTCATATTGACTTATACAATTGTGTGTTATGTAAATAATATGTCTGTCTTTTAAGCCGAGAGCTGCCGGAAAAAAATTCGTTGTGCTATGCATAATGACAATAAAGATTCTTGACTTGACTTGCTCATTATCCATGACAAAGTGGCTCATTTCCATGACTTTGGAAATCCAGTGCAACACTCTGGTTACTGCTAATGTGACACAAAGCACTAATGTTACTCAAAGCTGAAATGACTCCAAATTAAAATCATATTCATTCAACAAAAAGGTAAAATCATGGCTAAGCTAGGTCGCTAATGATACCAAAACAAACAGATGCCATCACATCCAGAAGGAAGACGCCACATCTCAAAAAACCAAACCGATGTTAGCCTTGGTTTTTGTTCTTTCTTTGTCTCACTCTCTGTGAAAAGAACAAGACCTCTTCAGTCGGGCAGCCACTGTTTCAGACTTTTACCTGCCGAGAGCTCCTCCATGGCTGGCAGTTTGAAATGACTACTCCCTGTTCAGAAATTGCTTCTTATAACCTTTGCTGTAGCGGGCAGGGCTGATTTATGAACCTGGTTTTGACAACACAGAGTAGCGAAGCTGGAATAACAACAGTAGCACTGTATAAAACAGATTGTCATGGAGGGGGGTGGGACAGGGGAGAAATACCACATTCTGCCTCTTTTCACTTGATTTATCAGACTATGGATAAGATCTTAGTTAATGAACCTTGAAAGATGCATCTGTTAGATAGTGGCTCTGCATGAAAACAGACAGAAAACACCAGGGTGGGTATGGCATACAAGAATACGTTGGACATATTAATCACCAGTCCACCAGAACAAATGCTGAAACCAACACTGATGCTGCTCGAAGATGCAACCTCAGCCTATAAGTCTGTTACTAACACCACTGCTACTATTACCACTTTATTTCTATCAGCTGAAACTGAGGGGTCACCGAAGCTCTTGGAAATGACTTACACAGCTTTTAAGAAGTTTTAACAATATTTAGAAACAGCTTATATTTTTGCCTAATGTACGAGCTCTGTGTAAATTATACTGGCTGGGGACGGGGGACTGCGGGCAGCTGCAAATAAACTGCTTATGAATTGAACACAGTAAACATGAGATTACAGCTGTGATTATATATATGTGATGTTTACCAGAACATGTTAATGTCAGATATACTTACTGTTCCATTTCAGTGCACCACAGGTAGTCCTCCTTGCCATTCATGCTGACGGGTAGTGCGCCCATCTTTCCCTGTCTTATGGAGTTAGACTTTGTCGTGATGGTGCGTACTTTGTCAAACTGCATGGGGAGGTGACAAATCAGAATCAGGGTGTTTTACCGGTTTTGAGAGAAGAGAGTTTTTCTCAGGATGTCTATAGGGTTCACAAAGTTAAACTGAAGAATCCTAGGCCTTTTTAATACCACACAGATTGCAATTTAATGCCACAATAACACCAGCCAAAGTATGAGGATATGATGGAAATATGGTCTCGAATTATTTTATTTACTTACATTTTTCAGAAAGTTCCAGCAATATATAACAATAGATTTTAATGATATAATTACTGATATTTTGCTAAAATGTCACTCAGCCATCATGATACAGTGAACTCCCTAGCTAATGTGTGACAGACACACGGGGAATATACCTGAGTCAAATTCCTTGTGTCTCCGTCACACCTGGCCAATAAAGCTGATTCTGATTCTGTGGCTGGCAGTGGTGACAGTGTTGACTACAGGTCTGACAGACCTTCATAAAAAGGACTGAACAGCCTCCTGCAGCACAATCCACTGTCTAATCTATTCCACTTTTAGTTTATAAGTGTGTAGTGTCCCCTGACAGCACACAATCAGATACAAAGACATTTCCCATCAAACATTGCTGCCCACACTGCAACAGAGAAAACATTTAGGACTTGTAGGAAGTACAGCTTTTCAAGACTTTTGTTCAGGAAAGTGAGTTTTCGAGATATACCAAGAGCTGCAGATAACCGTTTCTTGGTTACAACAAACTACCACAGAGTGCACACACTTCAGGTTATCATCTATCTTAAACAGCAAACAAAATGCTTCTACCTTTGCCATGCGCCCAACCTCCAAACAATCCTGGAGAGCCACTTTGTCATCTAAAAATGTGGCAAGAGGTCTAAAGAGAAACACAGACTGGCATGTAAACTGGGCTTCTTTATGGAAGAAATGTTTTTCTTCCAGTGTGAGAATCTGCATGAAGAAAGGAATATGACTGTGTATTAGTATTTACCTGTTCATGCCTGGGAGGTTTCCCCAGAAGTAGCGTGCTCTGTGAGCAGGACTGACTTTCACTGCATCGATGAGAATTGGATTACACTGAAAAAAGTAAGAAGGCTGATAATGAGCAATAAAACTTAATGTAGTCTGTTCCCTGCCATCAGGCTGAGAGGATACCTTTACCAGTAACCAAATATAATCACCTCAAGGAATCTGCAGATGTCTGACTTGTCGTTGGAACTCATAAAAACCACATTCTCAAACAACCAGAAGAATGGACGGTCTTCCTCCTCCTTCGGCTTCAACAAGGTCAGTATCCGGTAGAACTCAAAAAAGAGCCTTCCAGTTCCCTCTGCAAGACAAACAGAGATAAATAAAGAGTGATCAAAGAAGAAGAGTTTAGATGAACCTACTGTGACTGTATTTTCTGTTTGTTTACTGTTTAACAGAATGTGGAAGCTGCCTACCAAATAATCCTTTTCGAAGAGGGTTGACCATGGACAGGTCATTACAGGGGCTGCCTCCAATCAGAAGATCAAATGGACCCCATTCAGCCAGCTGCAACACACAAATCCAGAGCTTAAGTTGTGTTCATATTTTTGTGGTCTTAGCCTCTTTGGTGTGACACAAATTTACACAACCTGATAAAATAAACTTTAACCACAAACAAAATGACCACAGAGCTAAATGTGAGGTCACATTAGTTTTAGAGGTTTGTGTGGCACACACTCACATGTTTCCGTGTGATGGTGCGAACATCATTAACGTATTCGATCTTTCCCTCATGCTTGATCATCCCCACAGCAATCGAATCCTCACAGATCTCTGAAGCAATGTAGCGCTCGATCTTGAAGCCCAGGTCTTTGAGCACCAGGTATCCTGTCATCATGCCACAGTAGTTAGAATAAGAAAGTTAAGAATTCACACATTTTATGAAACAGAAGCTCCTCTTCTTTTGTTTCAAGTGACTTTGTGACTGAAGCTCTCAAAGGCTCCTCTCCATAAAGTGAAACATCACAAGAAGAAAAGAGTTTTGTCTTCAAACAACACTAGAGTTTACACGACTGACGCGTTACCCAATGAACCAACCTGTTGCAATGCCATCAAAAAGTGAGAGCACCTTGATTGGTCTGCGCCGATCGGCAGGGATAGAGGGGTAAACTCTGTGAGGCTCCTGTGATTAAAAAAAAGCAAAGAGACAACTTTCAGCATTGCACCAGTTAGCTAATTAAATGTCGTCACCTTGTCTTCCCGTCTTTTACGTTTTTACTTACAAGATGGTATCAAGTTTTGTTGTTTCTTTGGCGTTCTCAATAATATATTGACAAGTGAAAAACTGTTAAACTGTACAGCGAAGCGCCGTCTCCAAAATGACCACAGAGCTCAGTCAACACCTCTGACAGTCTCACGAAATAGAGAACATGACGCACTTTGCAGTGGCTGCACTACTGATGTTGGTAAACTGACAACTCAGTTTAGTGTGTAAACTTTTAGTGTGGTCTGATCAACACGAGAAGTAGAAATGTGAACTGGGAGGGAAGTACATACAAACTCCATGGCGCTGTTGTTGACAAAGAAGTCTTGAACCTTGACGCTCCAGTCTGGTCTGAGTTTGAGGTTTCCTTCACACTGCGACGGCTGGCACATGTAGCAACTCCAGGGATCAACATCTTTCAGCTTGTCAAAGGTTCCCGGGCTCACCAGGATGTCCAGACAGTCCTTACAGAAGCATCTAGGAGAGACAGAGAACACCCAAGAACATGAGCACTAGTGAACGTACTGGAGATTGACCAGTTTGTCTTTAATTATCCTTGTTATTTCTTACTTAGTCATTTAGAACAGTGAAATTCAGACTGGAATGTGGATGAAAACACACATTAAACACACCAAAATGTTTTTTTTTTTTTTGTTTAGGAGGGAGAGACATTAGGCAAAAAAGTGCATGATGTGGAAGGGACAAAAGTTAGTTTTTGTAGTTTTGCCTTTTGATTTCATCTCCTTACAAACAGTCAGCAGTTAAAGCTGCACTGACAGCTCACAGGGACGACGAAGTTTCAAGGTTCAGTGTAACTTTCCAAGGATCCTTAGCTCAGATGTCCTTAACAAATTAAATGACGATAAACCTCTTAAGAAATCAAAGTAAAATGCTCCCTGTAACCCCTAAAACTTCCTTCATTGTCAAAGTGTTTCAGTGACAGTTACCTGTACACTCATGGATACACTGCAAACAAGAACTGCTAATTAGAGCGTGGATACCCGAACCGAGTGCGACGGGACCTCGGTGCATGAAAGTTTGGGCCAGAAATTATGTTCGGGTCCAGGCCGGTTTCGGACACGTAGGTCAAACTTTAGGCTAGAAGGCTGGAGCGCTCAAATGTCTGCTTTGTTAATCCATCCATCCATCCATTGTCCTCCGCTTATCCGGGACCGGGTCGCGGGGGCAGCAGTCTAAGCAAAGATGCCCAGACTTCCCTCTCTCCAGACACTTCCTCCAGCTCCTCCGGGGAGAGTCGGGATGTAGATTGACTAGTAAATCGAGAGCTTCGCCTTACAGCTCAGCTCCTTCTTCACCACGACGGACCGGTACATCGACCGCATTACTGCAGAAGCTGCACTGATCCGCCTGTCAATCTCCCGTTCCATCCTTCCCTCACTCGTGAACAAGACCCCAAGATACTTGAACTCCTCCACTTGAGGCAGGAACTCTCCACCAACCTGAAGGGAACAAGCCACCCTTTTCCGACTGAGAACTGTGTTGGGTCCGGATTGTGTTCAGATGCCACGCTCTCATACACGGGTAGGGTTTGGACAGAAATATGTGGCCCGAACAATGCTCTACCGCTAATAGGACGCTCAGCATAATTTCAATGCCAATTTTACAAAATTTTAATATATATGAGGTCTCTCATGTTGTCCAATAAGCTGTCAAGTTTTAGCCCATAGCCTAACTTAGTGAATCCATCCAAACATTATACTTCCTGTTTATATACTGCAAATTGTTACAGAACTGTAGTAAATGTATTTGTATAGTCCAATATTACAGTTCACAAAAAACGACAAAAAAACTAATTGGAAAAAAACCTATAGAAGGCACAACTGATATGACTATGAATTGTTATGGTGTAATTGATAAGAATTGTCAACTTATATTTGTGTATTGTGAGTCAAAGAAGCCACCTGAGTAGCATTTACCTGCAGCAGCTGGCGTTGCCACACAGAATGACCTCGAGGCCACCACAGCACACAGTGCAGTACGACTGGTAGCCGTCTTCATCATAGCGATACAGCGTTTCTGTGAAGTTGCCCTGCAAACAGTGACAAGGTCGTTGTGGGACATTTGGGATGTTAAAGGCAGCTGTGCCTCAGATGGAGGTTAGACACTGACAAACTGGGCTGGGATGGAGTAAAGCAGAGCACACTGAAGTAGACCAAAATAGATCAATTAGATTACCTTGCATTTTAGACAGAGACCACCTTCAAACAACGGGTGCGGCACGTCAATCTCAGATGATCCACAAGACAAACAAAAATCTGAAATAACAAACTATTATCTTAGAATTAAGGATTTCATATTTATATCAAAAAAGGTATAAAATGATCATCTTCTTCCATACCATTACACCAAACATACCTTCAATTGTTTTGCCTTTCTCTTTGACCTTTTCTATTATTGATTCTGTAAAGAAAATATTACAACAAATCAAACACAGGAAAAAATAATGACGACGATATCATGAAATCTAAAACCGAGTTTAGTAGGTTCCACAAATTTTTAGGTTCATGAGAGTGTTTTCATGTTGTTTTGTTTGCAGCTTAAATCCTTACAAAAATAACACATACCTCTGCTACAGGTGATGGCGGATGCATTTGCCTTATTTTTCCAAACATATTTCTTTTTTGCTGGAGGCTGGTAGTCGGACAGAGTAGAGTCAGTGGTATCATGGTGCGCAGTAGAATCTTGAACATCAGAAAGAGATGGAATCAAGAGAAATTTAATAGAAACATATTCATTTCATTATGATACATGAAACGTTTTTCCACCCAGAAATGTTGTTGTTATTATTCATTCTGTGATACATTACTGGCTATATGGTGCACTCTTATGCACTTTTTTACAGTACTTAGTGCATTTTTGATGGATTTATTAATGGGCCCATACCAGGGGATGTGAATCCTTCAGGTCCTGTAGGAAGAAATCCTTCTAAAGCCCAGTCCACCATCAGCTTCAGCTCTTTTTCTCTATTTCCTCCAGCCTCAGAAAATGATTTCCCACACCGCTCACCTGCCAACTGCAAATTACAGATGTGATGAAATTCTGGAGCTCTGCTAAAACATTTCCTGGCACAGGGTTAACACATTCACTCAAGTGATCCTGAGCAATCTACAGTATTTGACACCATAAGACATGAAACATCTTTGATGTTTGCTTTTGTTGACAAGACCAAATGGGCACTTAGCTGTTTGAGAGTCTTGGGAAAGTGCCTGTGTTTGATTATTATAGTTCTGTCAGCTGTTATGTTAGAAGGTTTTTTCATAGAAAGGGGTTGCTTACATGTTGGTAAGCACACCTTTTGATTTCCTCCCATTTAAAGTCAAAAACAGCCAAATAGCTGCTGCAACCAACTTTCCACTTACTGTAACTTAAGCCCAGTAGAAAGATGGAGCTGAAGATTCTTTTTTCTATAACTGTGGCAAAATGGTAGAAAGGACCACGCTGATTTATGATATTCCATATGCTTTGATAGTTAACAGTTCTGGTCTCTTACCTCAATGATCTGGTAGATGGCTTCCTTGTACATGGGCAAGCTGGCAAAGGAGTTTTTGCAGAAGCACTTAGTGAAGGCATTAAATCCCAGCAGACCATCCGTGCAAATCTGCAACAGAAAGCAATGGTGATTCAAAATTCCAAATCAACACATGGGAAGTGTTTGTTTTTTTGTAGCTTGAGCACACGCCCTGGGCATCTAACCTCTGAAAACATCCCGTCTCCAAACCACTCCACCCTCCGCATACCCGGGGGAGCAGACTTGGATTTCCAAGGCATCACCATCCCAGGCCACCATGAAAAGCCCCTCACTTTCCCCCACACCAGCTCTCCTGTGAGAAACCCTTTCCCATCCTACAAACGTCCAAACAAAGCAAGGAAAGCAGACATTATTCCAAGTTTTCATCTGAAAGAAGATAAAAATCTGACAGATATGCTTGATGAGCAGACTTTGAGAACAGCTGTATCGTGGGGCTTTTCCTGCAGCTGTTACATATTTCAGTACCCGATAAGCGTGTTTCCGTCGTCCTCTTGGTGTGGAATTATTGGATGGTGATGATTCTTCTGCCTGAACCACAACCACATTTAGAACAGAGCAACGTCAAAAGTAACTTAGTTGCATTACAGAACAAACATTACTGTAACTTTAATAGTTTGTAAGTTTAGGTAAAGATGTTTCCAAATTTACCGCCACTCATATTATCATTGTTTCTGACATTTCCTTTCAGGTGACAAGAAAAGAATTTGTTAAAAAGAAGAAACAAGGAAGCCCTTCATCATTAAGATAAGAACATTCTCTTTCTTCAAAGTAGCACAACGGAGAAATCTCATTACTAGTACTGTGATTTCAAACTAAGGTATTAACTTTGAATTTAAACGTGGTTGCCAGCATAAAGCTTGGTCTGTCACTGTACATCCAGTAGCATTTCAGAGAGCACAGATGTAGTATACTTGAGTACACCTACCCCCTCATCTTGGGGCTTCGGATCATTTTTGGTGTCCTGCTCAAGACCTATAGGTTTGGACCAGGTGCTAGCACCAGCCTGAAACACTGTGCGGGCCTGTGGCTTCTGGCGCAAGCTGCTCTCCCAGCCAAAACTTCCCCTGCTGGTTCCCTGAGAGAAAAGACATGCTCATTACACACATTGCCACACATTACAAGTCTAGCTGACAGCATGTGTGGTCACATTTTGTCATTAACAATGAGAATGTTTAAACCAAGTTGCTTCTGTTCCATGTAGATGTAGTGGACTAAAGGCAGAAGGCCAGAGAGGAAAGGACTGTACCTCTGTCAACACAACACCATTCTCTCCAGGTACGTGGTCATTTTCATTCCCTGGCCCTTTGAAAGGACACAGGTCACGTTTTAATGTTGAGATCAGAGAAGTGCAAACTGTGTTCTGACATGCTAAAACTGAAAATGACAACCACCTGAACCTTTTCTCAGTTCACAAACTACATTAAATTGTACTACATTTTATAATCAAATTTCCCTTGAATAACAACATGTAAATTATGCAAATAAAAACTTAAAATTTCTTTTCTTACGATTGATTTTTGTAAGGCGGACTTCACACAACTTCAGTGTCACATTAAGGTTGTTCGGTTCTAGGGAATAAGATAGAAGTGTAAATAACATCAAATGACCAAATCTGTCGACTTCTTACACACCATCCGAGTCACTGTCATCATCTCAGGAAAGGTGGTTTATTTATCAGATTATTAAATGAGGTTTGTTTAACTTGTTAATTTGCCCAGGTGGGGGGTGGGGGGGCACTGTTCCTCTTACCTCTAGTGCAAACTGGAGAGTCCTTGCTGGTGGAGGTGTCAGAGAGATTGCTGTCGGACATGACGTCATACTTGCTTTCTGTTAAGGCTTCACTGTCAGAGAAGAGTGCACTGTCTCTATTCTCTAAGGCCTGGGACAGGAAATGCAGAAAATGTGTAAAATTAATTAAAAATAAATACAAACACAGACGGAAGATGCTAATACAGCACCTCCATTTACATACCTGAGAAAAAACTTGGTGAGCATCAAGTGGTGGAAAGGGGAGAGACAACAGGGTCAAAACAAGCTTCCTGAAGACAGAGGTCGGCTCGGTGTCCTTTAGTACACTGGCCCAGTGTCTGTCTAGTGAAACCTCTGCTGATTTGTCTTTCTCTCCCTCTTCAGCCAGCTGATACTCAAGGAATTCACTCGTGAGCTGGTTGGTCTCCTTGGGGGAGCTGCAGATTCCCTGTCACTTTCAGCCTGCTCTGGGGTTTCAGCAGCTGAGCTATGCTCCTTAGCACCCCATCACTGAAGGGCAGCCCCTCTGCAATGCAGCTTGTGAGTGCGATATAGAAAGACAACACCTCCTTTTTCAACGGTGGCAGCACCTCTGCAGAGTCAGACTCATTCAGGAAGTCTTCCACGGCTTTCCCACCCAGATTGAGCTCCGAACTTGATAGGTGGAACTTCTTGTTTTTAAGGATTCGGGCGTCATGTTCCTTGAGGAAGCGAACAGCAGCTTGTGGATGAAGGAAGTAGGAGGTGTAGGTGCACAGCAGGCTACTGGCTTCTTCCAGAATGGGCAGCATATCAGCACGGGGAGCTTCCTCCTGTGTTTGCAGATGCTTCTGGAAACTGTGCAAAGGCTTCAGGGCCTGCTCCAGGAACATAAATGTTGCCCTGACTTTGGGATCCTGCAACTTGGAGCAGATTAACTTGGCTTTGTCATCATTCTTCTCACAAGATTTAAAGTACAACATGAGGTCTGTCCACATTCCCAAGATTTTTGTGATGAACAGGTAAAACTTAAGGCAGTTGGTGTTGAGATTAAAAGACTGACTGTCCACACTGATATCTGAGCCAAAAAGAGTGTCTAGGTTGTCATTCTTCTTAGTGCAAGAGGAGTTGTGGGCATGGATGAGTGCTATTAGCTCTTGAGTGTGACTGGAGAGCCACTTCACCCCAGCACTGCAAGCAACATCAGCAATAGTGTACAGCTCTCCCAATGCTACTATGTTTGGGCTAAGTTCCCTGAGCTTTGAGCAGATCTGCTCTGAGACTGCACCATTGCCATCACAATAAACAGCAACAAGATTATCTCTGGGTAACTCAAATTTCTTCAAGGTCTCCACCACTGCTGCTGCTTCTGTCTGATCTCCTGCACCTTCTCCTGCCTGAAGAGCATCCAGAAATCGGATGCAGTACCTGGAGGCTTCGACATCAAAAAACCCAACAAGGACCACAGAGACGGTGTCATCCTTTCCCACTGTTACACCCACATAGATGTATACGCAGTAAGGAGTGTGCTGGCAAACAGATGCAATATCTTTGGGGTAGTGCAGCCCCAGCTTAGAGCGTGCAAAGTGTTTAGAGACCTCTTCACCTTTAGCAGAGCCAGTGTAACAGTGGTTGTGAATAAGGCGGAGAGCTGCGTCGCTGCAGGGCAGCGGCTCAGACAGTTGGCTTTGCGGGTCAGCGCTGATGAAAGTTGTAGCCCTTTTTTTGTGTGTGGCTGTCTCCCCATGTCGTCTGAGATCAAGAAGCCCTTTATGAAATGTGGTCAGGTTCTTTGTGCAACAGCGGCAGTAGGTGTAGTGCTCTCCAAGTGTACTACGTTCAGCCCAATCAAAAATATCCTTCCACTTTTCAGTGTAAAGGAAGTCTTTGGTTGTTTCAGTGTCGTTCTCTTCCATGTCTGATTCCAATTTAGAGCTCCCTGACAAAGTAAGAAAAAACATTACTGCATAAGTACTGTAAATGTGATCATCTAAACACAATGCACTGGCTTATTTTATTATCAAGAATTATGAATGTGAGCATGTTTTGTTACATTTATGTGACAGTGGAGATCCCACAACAGGACTGATAACACGGCTGTTACGAGCTTTCACAGGGTCGTATTCTTCACATTTCACATTTGCCTCGTAGAAAGCTTTGAACCACTTCAGGATCTGCAAGTTGCTTTTAAAGTCTCCTTTTATTAGCTCTTCAACTGGAATGGTCTAAATGAAGGGAAATAAGACATTAGAAAATTTAGAAACTAGTTTAACTTTGACAATCACCCACAAAAATAAGTTGTGTTTTTACTTGGAGTTCTGTGCTGAACTATTTCTTGGCTGGGTGCTGTGACTTTGCCATTACTATTTAGTTGACAGGCAACCAGATCCAGATGTCATGATTCTGTCCTGTCTGCTTCCTGTATCATGCTCTTATTCTGACACTACTTCCTGTACCCAGCCCACCCCGGCTCCCAGGAACTTTATCTCATCACCTACATTGGTTTCACCTGCTTCTCCATTACTCACACCTGCTTACAACAGCATATAGCAGCTTCTCACTCAGTGGGAAGCTGCCAGATTGTTCTATGCCTTGTCTAGACTCTCTAGCCATTCTTTCCTAGTGCCTGCTCTTCTGAGATTGAGACCCTGCCTGTATCACCGACCAAAGATTCTGCCTTGCCCTATCTGTTGGACTGCTGTAGACCTCGACCGTGGACCGGACCAAGTGACTGCTCTCTGCCTGATCCCTCGATACTGTAAGATGACAATAAACTCTATCCACCTTGCTTCTGCCTACTGGCTCTTTAATTGGGTTCACATCCTCACATCTTACAGGAGCATTATACACCACTCCCTGACACCAGATGAAGCTCACTCCTCCTGGCTTGACAATATTTTCACTGTATAATGTAATCTTATCATAACTAATTCACAGTTTGATGTATATAAGCAGGCAAAAGCATTGGCATGAGCCTTGAAAGTATTTTTTTTTTCTATAAGGGATCAGTTTTGGAAACCAACAGCTTCTCCTTCTACCGATGTAACAGTCAAGTAAAAAGGAAATTGCAGCATTACTCCACTAGAAAGAAAAGTGCATACCCTCGTGATCCCGCTCTTGCTGAAGGCCTCACGGAGGAGACTGAAGTTGTGCTTGAAGTCATCCTCCCCCTGTGCATCAAACTTCACCTGGGTCATGTCAATAGAGCCAGGAAAAATCCAGTCCATGATCTGACAGTGACAGGCACCTGTAAAATCACACACATATAAAGACACTTCACGAGGTGATGGCTGAGGTAAAAACACCCTTTTGCCGTTTTTCCAATTGCACCAGTATGCAAAAGTATGAACAGACATGAGTGAAGCTAAACTCCAAACCAGCTATAGATTACTAATGTACAGACAGCTTAGTTTAGTGCATGACTCATCTCTGTGTGAGAAAAGAGACCATCACGTGCGGCTACATAAGCCCAAAAAACAGCATGGACTGGCAAAGCTATACACTGCTGTGCAGCCAGAGTGGAAATCCATGTACTAATGGACTGTTGTGGCTCGGTATGATTAAAGTAGGCTAAAGCAGATGCATGGAAAAACTGCATTGGGTCTGCTCATATTGATAAAGCACCTGAACACATCTCCCGCACATCCTTGAAGTCTGTCTGCAGAAGGTTGTTCATCCAGGAGACCAAATGAAAGTGGTTTGGTTTATCATTGGGTAAGTCTGGAGTCACAACCGCTGTACTCGCCATCCTGCAGCTCTCTAAGAAAGGAAACAACAGAAATCTTTTATAAATTCTGAATATTTGGAAATAATTAATATCTAATAAAGATATTATTATCACAGTTACCCCATGTTCATGTCTTGTTTTTTCCTATTTCCATTTATACCAAACATAAAATCACAACATTTAGCACATTTGACTGTTAAGCGGCTGTGGCTCGTGAGGTAGAGTGGCTGTAAGATCTAAGATTGTGCAGACGATGCCAGCCTTGGTTACTCGTTCTCTCTTGTATTTGTTGTTTTTCTTTGTTTTCTCTGTCTTTTGCAACCCATCCTGGATTACTTTTACCAGAGAAGAACTGTTAAATATCGGACAACTCACACCAAACTACCTTTCTCCAATTTTTGTGAACGAAGAATGCTGTATGGGCATTCTGATCGGAGGCGCAGCTGCAATCTACGGGATCTGGAAGAAACACCGGCGGGGCAAATGAGCAGGCGCCTTAGTGAGGCTACACCAGAGAGGGACCCGGACTCCACTCCCGTCTATCCACCTAGCAAATCTCTGCTCCCTAGTCAACAGGATGGATGAAATTCTTCTCGTCAACAGGACCAACTCTGACTCAGGTTTCAGCCAACGACGACTCATCTGTGTGGGGAAGCCTGAAAAGCATCACTGGCTATAGGAAACCACCCCCCCGCTGCGGAGGACTGTCAACTAGCAGACAACCTGCATGTGTTTTACTGCAGGTTTGAGAAACCTGAAAGTGTGTGCTGATCAGCTGGCCCCCATCTTCACACTCATCTTCAACAGGTCACTGGATCTGTGTGAAGTCCCCTCCTGCTTCAGACGCTCCACCATCATTCCAGTCCCCAAGAAAACCTCCATCAGTGGACTGAACGACTACAGATCTGTCACCCTGACATCTGTAGTTATGAAGTCCTTTGAAAGACTGGTGTCGCCCCACCTGCTAGTTAACATGGCACTGCATTACATCCTGCAACACCTCGACTCCCCAGGGACCTATGCAGGGGCCCTTTTTGTCGACTTCAGCTCAGCGTTCAAAACCATCATCCCGGATATCCTCCACTCCAAACTGACCCAGCTCACTGTGCCTGCCCCCACCTGTCAGTG